TTCACGAACAGCTTGTAACACTCCAAAGAGAAAGGAAAACTTGAAATCGCATCATATGACCCCTTTAATAAACATCACCGTAATGGGAATGAATCTCCCAAAAATGCTATCATTAAGGAATGTAATAAAAGCACCAGTGCTAGGCAAGACAGCATCTGTGACATGAAAATAATTTAGACTCATCTTTCAGTTCATAAAAGCAGATACATATCTTATGATTGAGGTTTCTATGGAAAAGTGACTGCGCTGATGATGTTACACAGACACACTGTTTCAAAGGTGCAGCCACAAAACCCAAACATGATACTGCACATGTTAACATGAGACTAATTTGTCTAAAAATCACTTACAAAGCCTGTCTGTGCAAACCTATCCAACTTTCACACAACACAACACACACAATCTGTAAAGTGCTTTTTACAGAAATAACATCAGAAGTTCATCCATCTAGAGGTAGCAGGCCCCACCACTAAAACAACATCTCAACATTATAGAAGAATGAAGGGTTTTAACAAAAATACAGGCTTCACATTTCTGCTTTTAAAATGTTTGTGTACACTTCCACCATGACTTCTAATGTTAATTCATTTCTATATAAGCTATCATGCTATTTCTTATAAAAATAATAATACAATTTTTTTTTAAGCAGAGGGGTGAGTCTAAATTATTTTGCTGTTATTGACAGAAAGTCACAGATGCTGCCTTTACAGCTTAAGCTGTTTTAAACTCTTTAATGAAATTCAATGCAATTCAATAAATTCCAATGAGAATCGATCACCAAATTCAGCTGATGTCATTATTAATACCATTCACTGAGTTAAAGTGTTTACTCAGCCACTGAATAGTATGTTTGATGGTGGTATTTTTAAGGTTATAATTATTATTGCATAATTATAGCTGATGTGTTGACAAAGCAGCTTTCTGAGTCCCATAATCAATTAACCTTTTGCTGTCACAGAAGTATTGTTTTTATCACTATAAAAACGTCCACCTAAATAGATAAATAATGAAGCAAAAAACTATTTCAGTGTAGCATTCAAAGTCTTAATGGAACCCTAATTGGAATTTTCTTACTTTTAGTCTGTATCTTCTTTGAGGTGTTCTTTGCTAGTCTAAACACATTACACTTGTTGTAACTATCATTGTGGCTGTTGCTTTTTAAAACAATGCACTGATTTTGACATTGGTGCTGAGGTTTCTGTAATGACAGACTCCATATTGTAACTGCAGGAGCACTCACGGTACCTTGTGTCATAAGATATTACATGGTCTTCTGACACATATCAAGCTGTATGACATCAGTGACACAACGCTCAATAAATTGGATGAGCTGTCAATTAAAACAGGAGTTCAGCATTGTTTATATAATGTATATATAGGTCAGTCAGGAAACTGTATCATTGTGTGCTGTATGTGTCCCAATGACTTACTACAGATATATTTAACAGTAATAAGCCATAGTAATTGATTATTTTGGAGACTTAACTCTGTAACACTTAACTCTGTGGGTAATGCCAAAATAAATAATAATAAAAAAAACACACTAAATATGAGCCAAATTGCTTGTCCATTCATCAACACTGCATATACATGTTGTGTTGTACTTAATAATAATAATAATAATAAATTGTGTTTTCATTATCTATGAATCATTTACTATCATATAATATCTAGAAACTTTTTTTGTTGTTGTAATTTTCTGTTTAAATGCTGAATTATACCCGCCCC